CAAAGTAATTTTGAAAAAAAAAAAAAAGAAACAAAGCTGGAGGCATCATACTGTCTAATTTTAAACTATGTTGCAAAACAAGAGTAATCAAAACAGTATGGTAGTGGCATAAAAACACACATAAGCCAATGCAATAGAATAGGGAACCCAGAAATAAACTCATGCATGTATGTTCAAGTAATCTTTGATAAGGACACCAATAACAGGATTTTCTTTATGTAGATGTTCCACACGTCTTCTTTTCTTATCTGCTTTATTGAACTGTAATTTACATAAAACAAATTCATCACCTTAAGGTATAATCAAATTTGTTTTAACAAATGTGTGCAGTTATGTAAATACCTCCACAATCATGACATGTATCATTTCCATCACCCCAAAGTCCACTTGTATTCGTCTCTCCATTCTCTAGTTCTTGACAACAGCTGATCTGTTTTTTGCTGGTTTGTTTTTTAAAAGATGGGACCTCACTGTGTGTTCCAGGATGGCCTTAAACTCCTGGGCTCAAGTGATTCTCCTGCCTCAGACTCCCAAATAAGTGACAATACAGGCATATACCACCCCTAAACTAAGGTGTTTTTTGGTTGTTGTTTTTTTTTGGCAACCTAATGTGTGGTCAATGTTTGTAAATGTTTTCTGCCCCTTGAGAATAATGTACATTTGAACTATTTGTTAGGCTCTGGCTTCACTCCATGTATATCTTTTTTATCAAGCACAACTTTGTTGTTTAAATTCGTGTCCACAGTAATTTAAATTTTATTTGCTCCATCAGATTTGCATACAAATGTGTTAAATTCTCGCACATGGTTGTATATTTGCCAATTCCTCTTTATTTTGTTGCTTTACTTTAAATATTTTGGGGCTATTCATGATTTATAACTTCTTAATGGATGTTTTTCTTTTGTCGTTATACAGCATTCTGCTTTATCCCTGTTAATGCTTTTGCCTTAAAATCTCTTTGGCTGAGTATCAACATTGTTATGCAAACTTTTATGGTTTTTTAAAAATATTTTTCACTCACTTTATGTGATGCCCTCTTGTTCAGTTTTCTTTTATGTCTCTTGTAACTGCACTTAACTTTTGTAATTTTGTCTGTAATCCTAGCTTCTTAATAGGTAAATTTAAATTTATTTACATTTATTGAGATTCCAGATGTATATGGACCTATATCTTCTGTGGTATTGTTGACCATACTTTATTTGTGTTTTTCATGTCTCCTTCCTGCTTTCTAATGGATTGGTATAAAACTATATATTCTCCCCTTTCTCCCTGCTGATTTAGAAATTAAAGATAAAATTTCTGTAATGTTTTAAATTATGCCCCAATCCCAAAAGATGACAAGGAGCTGGAGCTTATCATGGTTTCACTACAAACTGAACACCCCATTTCTACCATTTTGGCTATTGTTTAATATTTTATTTTTAACTATAAATTTTGAAACTATTATCATTTTTACAGTTGATATTTACTTAATTTTAAAAAATTATTTTGTATGCTCACCATCGTTTTTTTTCTTTGGTTTCACTTTTTGTCTAGCTGAAGTAAATTCTTTGTTTTTTCTAGTGAGTGATCTCTAAGTGGTAAACTCTCTAAGCGTTGGATGTACAACTTTGTCTTTACTTTGATAGAACTTCTTAGCTACATTAAAACTTCTAGTTCAATAATTTATTTCTTCTCAGTATAGTAAAGTGATTACTATATTATTTTCTGGAATCTATGGTGTGGCTAATAAAAATTATTTTCTTATTGTAACTAACTGTAACTTCTTGGTAAATATTCTGTCCTTTCTCTCTAAAAGCTTTTTTTTCCCTAAAATTTAATCACGAAAATTTTAAGCATACAGAAGACTTGGGAGACTTATATACTAAACATCAATATACTTTCACATAGATTCACAATTAACATTGTATCATTCCTGCTTTATCACTTTTCTATTCATCTATGCATTTCTCTATCCACTCACTAACTGGTGGTCAAGTTTGAAACATTTCAAGGCTGCAGACATTAGCACTCTTCCCCCTCAAATACGTTGGCATGTGTATCATTAACTAGAGTTCAATATTTATTTAGAGTTCTTTTCTTAAGATAAAATTTACAATGAAATGCATGAGTATTAAGTATACCATTTGATGAGTTCTTGTAAATGCCTTTTTCTGCACCATCCAAATTCTTATCAAGATACAGAACATGACCATCACCTGGAAAGGTTCCTTATGCCCTGTCCGGTATATCTCACCCACTACCCATCAGGGCAATCACTACTCTTCTTTTTAACTATGATAATTTGGGTTTTTAAAAACTTTATATAAGTAAGGTTTTACAGCATATCCTCTTTAGAGTGAGATTTATTTCACACAGCATGTTTTTAAGATTCATCCATATTGTTGGATGTCTCAGTAGTTTGTTCTTTTTCATTGCTAAGTAGTGTACATTATCTGGATATACCAAATTTTGTTTATAATTCTATTGATGGACACCTCGAGTTTTTAAAGTTTTTTGCTATTATGAAAACTCTGCTGAGCACATTCTTGTAGGAATCTTCCTGTTTTTTCATATCTCTTGCTTAAATACCTAGGAACAAAATTGCTGGGATATAGAGTAGACACATCAGTTCTTTCCCCCCAAGACCCATGAAAAGGATGGTGCAGAGCAAGCCCAGGTGGATGCTGCACTCACAGGTGTGTGCTGCAGTAGAAGAATGCTTCACTGAGGAAACCTATGGGCTTATAAGGGGACTGATAGCAAACCTACCCAAACCTTACCTCTGAGGGAGACATTATCTTTTTAGCTGGAATTTAAGCAACTCTCCTCTGGGGATATTAAGCAAATCTCCTCTGAGGATCTTAAGCAAATCTCTTCTGGAGGCATCTCCTCTGGAAAATGTCTAAGGAGGGAGATGTTGTCTATTTTATAGTGGTCAGGGATACATTTGCCCTATAATCTGGAGGCTACATGATCTCTAGCTTCCAAGATGGCTTTGCTATTCAAATATCCTTGAAATGATACTCTGAGGCATGTAGAAATGCCATGGAGAATGGCCTTCCACCAAATTCACCCCACATTTTTGCTTCTGGCAAATTTCCCCATGAAGACACCACGCGGTCAGTCACTCTAATAGTCGGACCCATGGGTCCACATCCATTCAATTTTTTTCCTACATCATTTAACAAATTTTGACCCAGTGCAGTGGCTCACTCATGTTATCCCAGTACTTTGGGAGGCCAATACAGGAGGATCACTTGAGGTCAGGAGTTCAAAAACCAGCCTGGACAACATAGCGAGACCCCATATCTACACACACTCCCGTACCCACACACATTTCATAAACTGTAAACGATTTAGGTCCCTTATGACCACCTCTAAGGTACAAGTCCTTACATGAGGGAGGCAATTAGTGCCTGGCTTTCATACAAGAAGTACAATCCCCAGGGCACACGTGGGGCTCCCAGAAGGAAAGTGTACACAATTGTTGGGCTTCCTTGAGTGGTATGTACATTGGTAAGGGGGAAGGTGAACAGTGTCTCCTATGTGGTTCCTGGCTGGCTATAAGCCTTGGAGTTCCCAGTTCTGTTCATCCTTGATTTGTTTGTGTGTGTGGCTAGGGAGAGGGTGGGCATGTTGGAGGGACTGCTTGAGGACAGTCTGTCCAATCTGTCCTATTTGTCCATGACACCAACCAGGTGGCAGCCTCCCTCTAACAAATGACTGAGAATAGTGGTAGGGACAATGTCTAGAGGGTTCAATGTGGGACCTCAGAAGCTGGACCCAGCCCCTGCCGTCTCAAGGCTGGTGCAGAGAGGCTGACTCAGCATTCTCAGAGGTGGGAACACTGGAGCAGGGTATTTTCCTTCTGGACAAAGGATCCTTGGGTTCTTCTGAAAGACAGATATCACCAATGCTCCTCTTTCTCCCATACCTCTTTAGATGTCTGGATTTTTGCTCTTGCTTCACTGCTGCAAAATCTGCTATACCACTCCAGTGGCTGTACCTTCATCTTTTATCCTAATCATCTCCTTTTCTCACTTAGACTTTCCATCTACAAAATTAGATAGTAGAGGAAAAGCATTTTCATAAAATATGTCTGGAGTTAAATCTGTATCCCTAGGCTCTTTGAAGGCCATACCCACCAGGCTGGTAGGGGAAAGGATGAGGCATCATCCTTAGGAATGGTCGCAACAGAATCCTGAATCTTCAAGATAGGTCTACAGAACACTTGCAACCCCTACCACTTCTGTCCTGGTCACTGTCCAGGAAGGAGATGATCCCTTTCTGGGGGCTGCTCCCTTCAGTGAGCCTACTGCCCTCCCACAGTGTGTGGACAGGAGGAGATGAGGGATAGTCAGAAAGGCAGTGCACTGTGGAGTCACTTTTCAGATAAAGGGCACATCAGACTGCAAATGGTCCAGACAGCCAGATTCAGGACACTGATGAGTTTCTGGGGTCACAACAGTATTCCTGGAGTCAGCTGCTCTGCAGCCTGAAGTAGGGCTGACAGTGTGGAGGCACTGCTGATATTATTTAATGAAATTATATAGGGATTCTATAATGAGTATGTAATTACATAATGAAAACTCACTACATCAAGTTCAGAATATCTCCCAACTTCCAATATAGAATATTATTTATAACATCATCAGCTTCAAGGAGGATGCCTTCTCATTGCACATTTGCATTTACACAACAAACACTTGAAAAAGGAACATGAAGCAGCAGTTATCATTCACTCTAAGGTGCCAGCAAGAGTTAATTTTCTATTACAAATTTTGTTTCAAGGAAGGTCATCTCCTATAGTCTCTCCCAAGCCCATGGCCCAAGGCTCATGCAGAGGTAAAATATAACTCTGTACTCAACCTCCACACTGCTACACTGATCCTAAAGTATTTTGCCCCCTTCCTGCGGACCAAAGTATGAAAAAAAACCTTTACTCTTACTGGCATATAAAACTCAAAGAATTATATTTATCCCTCTGCATAATTAACTTTATTCTCTTTGGTTTGAAGGAAAAAAGAGGGGGCATTGCTGGACCAGAGTAAGAAGGAGAATGCAGAAAAACGTCCAACAACATGGTAAGCAGGCAAAGTGAAGTCGTTATAGCTTTTGAGTTTATTAGGGCACTGCCCATTGTATTCTTGAAAGCCTGCAGTTCCCGAGGGCCTGGAGAGTTCTGTACCTCCTGTATCAGTTAGGGTGTAGACTAACAGGCTGTGACAAAGAGGCCTGAGAATGCGAGGGCTTCAACAAAATGGTTTCTCATGCATGTAATAGTCCAGAGGCCCACAGTTAATAAGGAGGTGTTATCATCCTCAGTATGACTTTCTTTCCTAGCTCAAGAAATTTTTATTAATTTGGAAAGACATTCCTAAGAGGACTAAATGAAGAAATCAGGGTGTATGTGTATGTGTATGTGTACACAATTGTAAAAATATATATATGTATAACCATATTTTATGTGAAATTTATACTTCTGAAGTATATTTTTATGTATCCTGATAGATGCACATGTAATTATTTATCTGTATATATAAAGAGACATTAATATAGAAAAGTGGATGACAGTTCATTCATAAAAATATATGTAGTGGTTACATTTGGTCAGTGTAATAGAAGCGATATTTATATTTTTATTTGTGGTTTTCAAATGTATGTGTGTATATTAAAATATTATAAATCTCCAACATTTTTAATGAAAAAGTGTTATTCAAAAAGTAACATATGCAAAAAGAAAAGACTAGGAGAATATTTTTGCACAGATCATCATCTGGAGATCGCCATCCTCATCTGTGGCTATCTCCAGATGGTGATGTTTCATATCATTTTATTTTTTGAATTTCCTGTAAATACATATGTTCTTTATAATCAGGCCCTGAAATCTTGGAAATTTATTTTAGTCATGGTCTGAGAACTTCCTTTCTTCTAGACGATAAAGGCTAAGTCTCATTTTCTAAATGATTGTCAATTTTGAATCAGTGGATCTAAAATAGTAAGATTTTAGCATCCTATTGAAAATCGTTAATTTTTACCAATCTTGCCAGTTGATGTGGCTGCCTGGTTGGTGGATGTGACAGCTTTGTTTGGAAAGAAAAAAAAAGGGGTTGCATGCATTTTAAGAATGGCTGTTTTCAAATTGAAAATTTGTTTGGACTGAATCATTAAAACATTTTCATTTAAGTCTGTGTGTATGTAGACAAATTCTAAGGGACTTCAATGTACAATTAAATCCTGTGTGTAACTTAAAAGTCGACAATCTCAAAAGCAGAAAATGCTCTGGACACCTGCTTGAGGTTCCTTGTCTGAAAAAAGGGGATCCAGAATGAAACCCAGGACTCCCTCACTTGCTTTTGGTCCAGCCTGTCAGTTTTTCTGCCCAGTTCTATTAATACATTTTCCACTGCCTATCCCCAGAAAACAGCAAAGCCGATGGCCAGGTGGTCTCAAATGAAAAGAAGGTGAACGTGAATCTGAAAGGCCTTTCCAAGATTAGGGGTAAGAAAAAGTTTGTGCCGCTTTCCCTTTGCCCTACAGGTCAATACATTTTTTTTATTATTATACTTTATGTTCTAGGGTACATGTGCACAACGTGCAGGTTTGTTACATATGTGTATGTGTGCCATGTCAGTGTGCTGCACCCATTAACTCATCATTTACATTAGGTATATCTCCTAATGCTATCCCTCCCTGCTCCCCCCACCCTGCAATAGGCCCTGGTGTGTGATGTTCCCCTTCCTGTGTCCAAGTGTTCTCATTATTCAGTTCCCACCTATGAGTGAGAACATGCGGTGTTTGGTTTTCTATTCTTGTGATAGTTTGCTGAGAATGATGGTTTTCAGCTGCATCCATGTCCCTACAAAGGATATGAGCTCATCCTTTTTTTACGGCTGCATAGTATTCCACGGTGTATATGTGCCACATTTTCTTAATCCAGTCTATCACTGATGGACATTTGGATTGATTCCAAGTCTTTGCTATTGTGAATAGTGCCGCAATAAACACACGTGTACATGTGTCTTTATAGCAGCATGATTTATAATCCTTTGGGTATATACCCAGTAATGGGATGGCTGGGTCAAATGGTATTTCTAGTTCTAGATCCTTGAGGAATCACCACACTGTGTTCCACAATGGTTGAACTAGTTTACAGTTCCACCAACAGTGTAAAAGTGTTCCTATTTCTCCACATCCTCTTCAGCGTCCACGGGAACAGAAAACCAAACACCGCATGTTCTCACTCATAGGTGGGAATTGAACAATGAGAACACTTGGACACAGGAAGGGGAACATCACGCACCGGAGCCTGTCGTGGGGTGAGGGAAGGGGGGAGGGATAGCATTAGGAGATATACCTAATGTAAACGATGAGTTAATGGGTGCAGCACACCAACATGGCACATGTATACATATGTAACAAACCTGCAAGTTGTGCACATGTACCCTAGAACTTAAAGTATAATTTTTTTTAAAAAAAGTATTAACTGAGACTTCATGATGAAGGCAAAAAACAAAAAAACAAAAAACAAAAACAAAACCAATAAAGCACCTTCCCTCCTTCAGCCTGGGCAAGCCTTAGTCTGGAACACATATAGTTGGGGGTGACATGGTCAGTGTCTTCTCTTATTCTCTCTTGGCCCTACCCCTACTCCACAGCTGTTGGCTTGGTCCCATCCAGGATTTCGGGAGGTGAGAGAGAGGGGTGAGATCAGAGTGTGGAGGTGTCTTGCCTGACAGGTGCAGCCGTGAAATGACATTACAAGTGGTTGATGCACAATCACTAGCTCTTTCTTCCATGACATGCTTTCATCAACTGCCCTGCAAGGGAAGGGGAGGGGTCATGCACCACAGCTTGACTTATTTTGAAAATAGAGCTTTACTTCTACAACCTGGATGCGAGTGAAAGGCTGAACCTGGCATCATCAGTTCCACTAACTCTTTCTATGGTTGCATACATGGACTAATGCATTGTCCTAGGATGTGGGTGCTCAACTCAACCTACTTGCTTGGGACTTCCTCAATTTTGCCTATGAAACTCTCATTTCCAAGCCATAGGTCCACTTTGGGTCTGGTTGCTCCTTTTTACTTTGGTGGCCTAATATGCTCATGATATGGTTAGAATTTATGGTACTTAGGAATGAGTAGGCTGGATAATATTTCCTCATGGGCCTACATGACCCTGACCAGCACCCCCAGATGGTGGTCATTGGATGGTGGACATCCAACACAAGAAGGAAGGAACATTTTGCTTTCCTGCCTCGGAAAATGAAACACATTTGAACGATAGTAAACCTTGACATGTCCACCCATAGCCAATTAACGTGCACACGGGAGAACCTCGTCGGCCGCAGCGTCTGCCATGTCAATCCTTAATTACCATTTGGAATGAAGGCTGTGGAAGTCTCAATTCTACCCATTCCTCATGATTAATTTTCTTCTGATTAGTTTCTTAAATCCCAATATTTCTTTTTTCCAAAGCCATGTGGACAAAGCCCTGGTCACATTTACTATTACTTTCAGCACAAAGGTACAAATATCTTCCCTCAATGTGATATGTGCAGCATACATCTCACCTATGGAACACCTAATAGGATTTCCCTTAACTTACAGAACTGTCATTTATTTTTGTCTCTGCTAAGAGAAACCCAAATGCCTTCACTTAATTTTGTAGTTTTGTCTCAATTTTCTCTGAATATTTTAGTCTCTGTAATGACAGTAATCATCATTTTGATCTTGCAAAGATTAAATAAATTAGTGGACGTGTAAGTGTTTAACATGTATTATATGCCATATATATTTCAAATATATATATTTGAAATGAAATATGAAATCAACCTTCAAAATATGGAATGAAGCATTTGTACTTTTGCTTGAGATATATGTGAAGTACTGCTTTCAATTAGTCTTTTTCCTAATATAAGAATAGGAAAATGAAATATAAAGTGACCCTAATATTAGCTATCTGATTCTTCATACCTTAAAGGCTAGGGTTTAAATCTTTTTATTTATACATTAAACAGGCTTTTGGAAAGTTACATTTAAATGGAATTTTTGAAAAGCTGTAATATGTGTAATACAGATACTCATAAATGACTGTGATTATATTATTCTACTTTCTCAGGGAGAAAGAGAAGCAAACCTAGAACCCACTTCACTCAGAGTGACAGAGCTCCACAGAAAAGAGTCCGATCGAGAGGTAAAAAAGAAAAGAGGAATGTACTTTCAATAACTAAACATCTAATTTCCTGTGCAGTACACTGTACTTCCAGTAATAAACCCATTTCCTTAATTGTTTTATGAAGCTGTACTAACTAGTGAGAAATTTATCCTATTTAGTCATTTTCCAAAATGTGTCAAGGAAAGAAGGAAGTAAGTTGGTGATTGATCTACAATCAGACCCCGGGGGCTCAGGGGCCACTAAAGTGCTACTTCCACAGAAATGATAAATTTCAAGGCTGGAGATAGTTCATTGCCATATAAAGGGCACGACCCACATTTATTATTTAGCTGACCTTCCTCTGGCTACACAGAAAGCCACAGGTTGTACACTAAGGGTGAAACAGAGTTGTGATTAGAGATCTGTGTCCTAAGACTTCCTTTTTCTTTGTGTGGGCTTAGGCTGATCACTTGAGTTTCTTCGTCTCAGTTTTCTCATCTGGAAAGCAAGAGTATGAATTAGGCCAACCATCTTTCTTTCTTTTTCTTTTTTTATACTTTAAGTTCTGGGATACCTGTGTAGAATGTACAGGTTTGTTACATATGTATACATGTGTCATGGTGGTTTGCTGCACCCATCAACCCATCATCTACATTAGGTATTTCTCCTTATGCTGTCCTTTCCCTAGCCCCTAACTCCCGAGAGGCCCTGGTGTGTGATGTTCCCCTCCCTGTGTCCATGTGCCCTCACTGTTCAACTCCCACTTATGAGTGAGAGCATATGATGTTTGGTTTTCTGTTCGTGTGTTAGTTTGCTGAGAATGATGATTTCCAGCTTCACCCATGTCCCTGTAAAGGACATGAACTCATTCTTCTTTATGACTACATAGTGTTTCATGGTGTATATGTGCCACATTTTCTTTATCCAGTCTATCATTGATGGACATTTGGGTTGGTTCCTAGTCTTTGCTATTGTGAACACTGCTGCAATAAACACACACACATGTGTGTGTGTCTTTATAGTAGAATGATTTATAATCCTTTGGGTATAACCAGTAATGGGATTGCTGGGTCAAATGGTATTTCTGGTTCTAGATCCTTGAGGAATCGCCACACTGTCTTCCATAATGGTTGAACTAATTTACGCTCCAACCAACAGTGTTAAAGCGTACCTATTTCTCCATATCCTCTTCAGCATCTGTTGTTTCCTAAGTTTTTAATCATTGCCATTCTAACTGGCTTGAGATGGTATCTCATTGTAGTTTTGATTTGCATTTCTCTAATGACCAGCGATGATGAGCTTTTATTCGTGTTTGTTGGCTGGAGAAATGTCTTCTTTTAAGAAGTGTCTGTTCGTATCCTTTGCCCACTTTTGATGGGGTTGTTTTTTTCTTGTAAATTTGTTTTAAATTTCTTGTAGATTCTGGATATTAGCCCTTTGTCAGAGAGATAGATTGCAAAAATTTTCTTCCATTCTGTAGGTAGGCCAACCATCTTTCTTATTAGTCCATCCCAGTCCTAATAGTCTGCCTTTCTAAAAATTTGTCTCAGGACGAAGGACAGCTCCCCTGTTTATCATGACTTCTGTTGGCCATACATGAGCCCATACATTGCATGAGTGCAATGGTGTGATCTCACCACAGACTCCACCTCCCAGGTTCAAGCAATTCTCCTGACTTAGCCTCCCAAGTAGCTGGGATTACAGGTGGGCACCACCATACCTGGCTAATTTTTGTATTTTTAGTAGAGACAGAGTTTTGCCATGTTGGCCAGGCTGGTCTTGAACTCCTGACATCAAGTGATCCACCTGCCTCGCCCTCCCAAAGTGCTGAGATTACAGGTGTGAGCCACCATGCCTGGCCCTACACCTTTGGTTGGAAGGGAAGGATTCACTGCTCACCCTCCTGGAGTTCCTTTGAAGACCTTACACCCCCTTCTCTGTGAAATCAGGTCTCCAGTCCCCCACCTGCCACCCCATATAATTTTCAGATTATTCTAGAGCTCCCTGAGCTCTTCTCTCAGCTACAAGGAAAGCTGACAGGATGGAGAAATGAACTAAAGCAGAGAACAAAAATAGAAGGCAGACATCATCTCCATTAGGTTATCCTATCATTACCCTGTCCCTGCTTGCCCCGTCAGTGCTCAAATTGGGAGACTGAATATGATCTCTGGCTTCATCTAAGGCTACCTACCTGCAGCAAAGCAGCATAGCTGGAGAGCTCCTGTCAGAACAGTGACAGCAACTGCGTTTCATTGTCATATAAGAATCAGTGGAGCTTACTAGATTAGGAGTTAAACCAGTTTTACTGAAGTCTAAGTTCTCTGCTAAAGTATTCTATTTTGTATGAAATTTGAAAGGTGAAATTGGGGTAGACATTCTGTAATTATGTATCAAAAATGCCACTTGGAAGAAAGACTTTGAAACTCTAGAGGTTTTTGGAATAGAATTTCCTAAGTATCCCTTGTGTCTTTCTAGGAATTACCTCAGTAGGGAGGGAGGGGGGATGTGCCTTTGCAAAGTGAAACAGAATGAAGAAATCCTCTCTTTCAGCTTCAAGAAAGCACAAAGATGAAACTGTGGATTTTAAGGCTCCTTTGCTTCCGGTGACCTGTGGTGGGGTGAAGGGAATTTTACATAAGAAGAAATTGAAACAAGGTGGGTTTCATGGTCTTCTTTAAATTGCAGCTCCTATCTGAAGGCATCACAAGTAGTGGGGAATTATCGTGTGAATTACACATCACTCAAGGAGTTTGGCCCCAGTTTGGCTTGAGGGAAGGAAGAAGGGATTTCTAAGATGATGTTTTCTTTAAGACTTTAAGAAATCACGCCCATTAGATGCTGACTTGCACATGGAGTGTTCAGGGGTTGCCCAAAGAACCGAAGAGAAGTGCAGGAACGTCAGTTCACAGATGGAAAATGTCACGTATTTTACTTTGAATCAGACAGAAAAATGAAGAGGCCTTCAACCTCAACTTTCATATTCTCTCTCCGTTCTGGAGTGCCATCACCAGGGCAGGGTGCTTGGTATAGGAAGATGATCACAGAATTTGGGATCACGAAGCCTGAGTTCCAGCCTTGGCTGTGCCAGGAGTGACTGTTCCATTCTGAATAGAGAAGGGAACCTTTCTGAACCTGAAATTTCTCATCCAAGAGAGGGAACAATAATAAGAAACCTGCCTCATGATGTAGCTGTGAGAATTAATTTACATATTGATGTAAAATATGTAAATTTACATGTTTTTACTGTAAATTATAAAACTTTGCCCAAAAATGTCTATTGCATTATGACTATTTCTAAACAGCTTTACTGAGATATAGTTCACATATCATACAACTCACCACTTAGGGTGTACAAATCAACTATTTTTTTGTATATTCACAGAATTGTACAGCCATCATTATCGTCTAATTTTAGAACAATTTGTTCCACACTAAAAAAAAAAAAGCCCATGTCAATTAGCAGTCAATGCCCATTCCCACCTAAGCAGCCACTAATCTATTTTCTGCTCTATAAGTTTGCCTATTGTAGGCCTTTCTAGAAATGGAATTCTATAATACATGCCCTTTCCTAACTGCCTTCGTTCACTGATTGTGGTATTTTCAAAGTTCATCTATAATGAATGTATTAGTACTTCATTTCTTTTATTGACAAATAATATATTTCATTGTATAGATATACCACATTTTGTTTATAAACTCATCATTTGGAACTATTTTCACTCTTTGGCTATTATAAATAATGCTGTCCTGAACATTTGTGTAACAAGTTTTGTGTGAACATATTTCAATTATTTGGGGTATATATTCAAGAGAAGAATTACTGCATCATATGGTAATTCTATGTTTAACTCACTGAGGAATCACCAAAGTGTTTTTCACAGTGGCTGCACTATTCTGTATTCCTACTGGCAGTGTGTGAAGGCTCCAATTTCTCTACATGCTCACCAACTTTGTTATAATCTGTCTGTCTTTTTTATTACAGTCATCCTATCATCCTAGTGGGTGTGACATGGTGTCTCATTGTGGTTTTGCTTTGTGTTTCCTTAATGGCTAATGGTACTGAGCATGTGACTATCTTTTACATATAAATTAAATTTTTTATTGGATAACATTTCACAATTAGTTTTTTAATATCAGCTACCCACGATTGCAGGGGTGTGAAAATCTCTGTTCACTAATGCCACTAAACTGCATAAAACATGTTATAATTGAGAATGCAGATGTTGCTGGAGTGACCCCTGAGCCACAGGGCACCCATCTGAGACCGTAGCCACAAGTTGAGGATTCTGCCTCCAACATTGCCCTCACAGCCATCTGGAGACTCAGGCCTGGTCTCTACTTCCAAATTTGAATAGAAAATTGGAATCCTCTGATCTTTCAGAATCACTTGCTTTTCCTTCTGTAAGTGCTTTTGAAATGCTTAAAAGGTTGCTCTTGTTGACAACCATCACTTTCTTCATGGATGAAGGTCAAAGAAATGTGCACCCCCGCCAGGAAATATCCTTAGAGTGGACTTTCAGGCTGGATTTGAGGCCTCTAAAGTCTGAGAGGGAAGGCCAGACCCTCCTGCTATTGATCTTGATCAGAAATTGGGTGGCTCTAGATCCAGTGTGGTGAGTGGCCACAGTCTGAGTGCTGGGAACAAAGAGGGCTCAGAATCAACTTACCCTGGTCTTACAGGAATCTTGGTGAAGTGTATACAGAGTGAGGATGGAAATTGGTTCACCCCCAGGGAATTTGAAATCAAAGGAGGCCACGCAAGATCAAAGAACTGGAAGCTGAGTGTGCGCTGTGGCGGGTGGCCCCTACGATGGCTGATAGAGGTATTCCAATGACAAGGGGCCAGACCTGTGTCCGTTCTTGTTCCCTAATAATGAGGAGACTGTACTGTTTATTCACCAAATATTTGTTAGGTTATTGCTAAAGCCTTGATGCCAGTGGGTTCATCCTCTCACTCAGGAGAGAGGGACCCCATATCCGTAACCACACTACAGTGCAACACATCCATGTTGTACCAGGGCCTCCATCAGGATAGGCTCAGCAGCTTGAAGGAGGAAAGGGTCATTCTGACTAGGGTGCATGCAGACAGCTTTGTGCACTGAAAGAAGGAAAGGAGTTGATAGTCAAGCAGTGGAAGAAGACACTTCAGAGGAAGAATGGCATAAAAGCCAGAATGCCATGCAAACCAGAACCACGGCAAAAGTAGCTCTGTGGATTTAGGTAGCATAGATTGTGAGCAATTAGGTATACTATAACAATTGGGGCAGTTTGTGGAGGGCTTTAATGCCAGGCTAAGGAGTTTAAACCTATAATTGAGATAACAAGGATTCAGTGAAATCTTCTAGGATTGGAAATGATATTTAAAGCAATATTTTATTTTATTTTTAGGAGACAGTCTCACTCTGTTGTCCAAGCAGGAGTGCAGTGGCTCAATCTTGGCTCACTGCAACCTCCGCCTCCCAGGTTCAAGTGATTCTTGTGGCTCAGCCTCTCGAGTATCTGGAACTACAGTCGTGCACCACCATGCCAGGCTAATTTTTATATTTTTAGTAGAGATGGGGTTTTGCCATGTTGGCCAGGCTGATCTCGAATTCCTGGTGTCCAGTGGGAGGTCTCCTCGGCCTCCCAAAGTGCTGAGATTACAGGCGCAGCCACCGCGCCCAGCCGTAAAACAGTATTTTAGACAGCCATGGGGCTTTCCCCCTAGCAAACCTATACTCAATTCAGAATGCTCAGTTCAAGTGTGACCCCTTCCTGAATGTTCATTGACCCGGCCATGGGTCATCACTTCCCAAGGCTCCTGAGCCCTCTATTAAGGCCTTTCTACTAAGGCCTTTCATTCACTGTTTTATATTTATTATTCTGTGAGTGCTTTTTGTCTGTAGACCCCTTTAGGTTTTCCCATCTTCATGTGCCCAAGATTGATCAGAGTTACTGATACTCAGTAGCAGCCAATAAGTGTGTGCTGCTTGGATAGCTGTGGTGTAGGGACTCCAGCTGGAGTGGCACTGGTGGGACTGGAAAAGAGGTGATAGGTGGTATGAGATTGTGAAGGAAAACCTCTTAGAACTTAGGAAAGAAGCACAAGAGAAGGGAAAATGGTCCTGAAGATGCTTTTCTGGCTTCTATTGATTGAAGTCTAGAAGAAGCACAGGTGAAGAGAGGGAGATGGTTTCTCATTAGACACCCTGGGTTTGAGCTGGCAGTGGAACACTCAGGTAGAAATATTTGGGAGGAGGTTGGAAATGCCAGACTCACAAAACAGAAACACAGGCTGACCGTATACCTGAATCTTTTTGTCTTTCAGAATGGATTTCTGCCTAATCCTCCAAGAATATATTCCAGGAAAAAAAAGGTGATTATTACATAGCTTTCTACAGCTTCATGTCACATAACTGATTTAACATGCACAAAATCTTATTTTATGGGGTCTGAAATTGGGTAAATATAATTAAGCTTTCACCTTCATCACTACCCACCTTAAAATACACTTTGCATGTATTCCTTCAGAGTTGCTAATTTTCAATGCTAAATGTATATAAAGCTAGGTCCTCTTTGGATCAATCATTTCATATGAAGATGATAAGGAGCCATCAAAATGGACCTCCTGGATGTGTTTTAGCAATAGATGCAGATGTTTTAAGGGTGCAACTTTCCAAAGTTGGAAAGTCAAGCATGGTCATGGGATACATAAAATATTTCATAATAAGGTGAGAGGATCATCTTCAACTCAAAATTCAGATTTTTTTCATTGAAGTTACTATTTTCTAACTTTAGTGAAATAGGATGGAGCAGATGTTTGCTCACATCCATTTGAGACATACGTGAAACCATATATCATTTCATGAAATAGGCAACAAAAAGAATATTTCTTTTCTGATCCTTCACATTCTCTTTCACCTTCCAAAAAAATGTACACACAGACACACAGAATGTCTTCTCAAGATGAAATTATTTCCTGTTACCACAATGGTGCCACCGAGGACAGAGATCTCCAGAGGCAAATGTATTTTATAGGCGGGGCTGACCAGGAAAATCTTTTATGTTGATGCCACCTCTTTGGCTCTACCAGAGGGACTGTGCCGACCTGCTTTTTATCTGTGAAAGTGATTTTTCCCTCTCTTGAAGAACTCAACAAACAAATAGATTAAGTGCAGTGTAGATTCAGGACAAGGTGATATTTTTCCAAGACTGGGTTTGAATGAGAACCTGAGGAGGGGGAAGAGAAAAATATCATCCTTATGCACTTCAGGTAGAAATGCACATTCCAGACATTCACAGATTTCTAAAACAGCTCACACATAGCTAGCCACTGCGCTTCATATTCCACTGGGAACCTGGGATTCAGGTGTTTATATGATCAGATATACTGGCTGATTTGAATTTTCAGTCACTGAGATATTTCATCCACTGGGTTTCCCAAAGGGAAACTATTATGTACCTATTCAGTGAGTACACTAAACACTAGCATCTCTACCTTTCCCCAAGTGCCAAGAGTAACTCAGCCTGGATGACCCAAATGAGCTGGACATTTCCAACCAACCGACTCTCCCTCTCTTCTGGGGTACAACACTTAGCAGCAACAAGCTGCAGTTGCCTCTATATGTTGTGTCTCCTCATGGGGAGAACAGAACGCCCCTTAAGTGGCAGATCCACGATCCATTATGAACTCCATGGGTCCTCTGTGCCTCTCAGAGCTTCTGGCAGGGCCATTTGGCTTTGGGAAATTTCAGTGTCACTACCAGTGCTACATGATGGCATCTTAGCTCATGACAAGGGCCACATAAACCTTTTGGTCCAGCTGAGGTATTGTAAAACAATCTGATACACTCACCCAGAATAATCATTGTATGCTAATGTTTGCTTGAGGGCCTCCAGTAATTTCTAAGTGAAAAAATATTCGTTTATTCACCCATTCCACATATGATTATCAAGTACCTATGAAATGCCAATGACCATTACAGAAGATTGAACTCAAAAATTATTTCAGCCAAGCATGGTCACTTAAGCCTATAATGCCAGCGTTTTGAGAGGCTGAGATGGGAATATCATTTAAGCCCAGGAATTTGAGACCAACATGAACAACATAGTGAGATACCATCTCTACCAATAAAAGAAAAACAAAAAAATTACCCCGGCATTATGGTGCACACCTGTGGTCCCACCTACACAGGAGACTGAGGTGGGAAGATCACTTGAGCCTGGGAGGTTTTCAAAGCTGTAGTGAGCTGTGATTTCATAATAGCACTCCAGCCTAGGTGACAGAGTGAGACTCTATTTCAAAAAAAAAAGTTTTAAATTTATTGTCAACATGGATGAATTACAACTGGGTTGGGTTGGAGATTCTAGGCCAGTCAGAGAGGCATTCAGTGACAAGGTCACCTCTCAAGTGCTTGTCCTTTGAATCACACTTGTTTATGGCCTCTGGTCCCTGGGCTACAGATAGAAGCTAAAGCTGCCTGTATCCCAGAAGGGAAGGATGCCAAGTCATGCAATGGATATCCAAAAGCCATCTAAATAAATATAGTGGGTTACCTCTGAAAAGTCAGTCAACCTGACATCTTTTTGTGATTTGGATAGAAGGGAGAGCGGGAGACTTTCAGGAAAAAGAGCTACAGCACAGAGGACCTTGGAGGCATTTTATCACCAGGGCTGTGTCCCTAGGGGAGCTGCAAAAAGCAGTGTTCTTCTTCTCTGGGACACTGCATAGCCTCCAGGACTCTGGGCCCTGTGATCCCAGGAGGCTGTGGGGGATAAGTCCTCAGCCTGATTATTATTGCAACTCTTCTCGGTGGGATGATACAAAGGCCAAGTTTAGGAAATATGCCTGAGGGCCCCTTGGAGTAAGAGGACAAGTAGTTTCTCTGAATTGGCCTGTGCAAACTAGGTCCAGACTCCCTACAGGGAATGGGACTTGCACTGGGCTGAACAGTAGTACTTGGGCACTTTTTATTCTCTCAGTAGATATATAGGCAAATCAGATATGAGGTAAAGGGAAGGCTGTTTAAAAAAATAAAACTTTAGAAAAAATAAAATTTATAGCATTTATTTGAGCAAAGAGCGATTCATGAATTGGGCAGCACTCAGAACAAGGAGAGGTTCAGAGAACTCTGCTGTAGCAGCCCAGACAGTGAGGCCAACAAAGGAGTAAGTCAGGAAAACTAAATTTACTGGCTTATCATGGAAAGATGATAATTAGAGGTTAGATGGCAGATTCTAGTTGGTAAAGTCTCTAGTTTCATTTTATTGTTTATATCAGGTTTCAGTTTGCTTACTTAGGAACTTAAACCACTGGAGCCATCCCAGTCTGCAGGTCTTCTTCTCATCCCAATTATTTTTTTACAACTGGTTCCTGAATCCCTTCAAAGATGACTATTTAAATTTAAACAAATGATAGATGGAAACATTACATTCAATATTGTAAATCAATCTTTCTGTTTTTTTCAACAGAGAATACTGAAGTCTTACAACAATACTTCAGTTGACCCTTGTGTAAGTATAAATTCTATGACCCCCAGAATATTCCACTCCTTTCTCCAGGGATATGTTCTGTGTCATGACTGCTGTTCCCTGAAGCATGTTCAGTCTCAGTTGGAGTATGTTGCTGTGTGTGATGACCAAAGAATGCCAGATGCATCACCCAAGCCAGGTAGATGTGCCTGGGCCTTGGATGTCTCAGTGTGAAAGCACCCTTTCCATCTGTTTCAGTAGAAACCTTCCAATGTCCTTATTTATTTCCCCTGGAAAGTGAGTGTAGGAGGCTGAGCTCTATACCACTGAGGTCTCTTGAGACAGAGCTTGAAGTGGTAATGAGTAGGGCTGGCCTGGTGAGTAAGGGGAAGGAGCAAATGTGAAAGGATAATAGCATTTTCAAGTAAGGGGTGTGGGTGAAAGGGAAAGTCCCCAGAATGTACTCCAAGTTGCAGGTAGAGCTGAAGATGGTCATAAGCATCAGCCAGAAGGAACAGGCCAGGTTGGGCTATTATGTTCAAGGTGTGGATCCTGCCATTAGCCCTGTAAAGGAGTACATACAGGGTGAGGGGTCCTTTACAGAGCTCCTATGGATGGTCTCAGGTAAGCCATTAGCATACTGAGCTGGTTAGGACTGAAACCAGCATGACCTAGCAAATCCTGAGGCATTTTAACTCAACTGCTTATCTGGTGCTCAGTACTAAGCAACCCTTCTGATTCCATGGCCCCATCCATTCTCTGCTTGCTATATGACTGCCTGTTTTGGGTTCTGCCAAAATCATGGATGAGTCCCTTCTCTAAATGAAATCATGGTTTGATTCTTTTCATTGCAATGAGATGTCTGTTTTAGGCAGGGTCACCTTCTTGCACAACTCTGGGGGACAGCACTCACATAGAATATCATGCAATAGCACTGACACATGATACTTAACAGAGGAGGGATGCTCAAGTAGTTTTATATGCACTTTACCTCCAAAGCAATCCTCCAACAAGATTTAGGTCTTATCCACACTAATTTTGATGTCCGGCCAACTGAGGGACTTTTCAACAGTTAAAACAGCCCTAGAAGTCAGTGTTTGTGTGGTTGATTTTGGATAGACTAGGCATGGAGGTTTAGGTTTCACATCCCACAGCCAGATATGTGTGGGGAGAAGAGGGAAACAGTTCCAGCAAAGGTATGGTCACTGTTAATAATTTTTCCAAGGCCAGTAACAACATTGACTTGTTATATCCCCATGCCTCCATAACCAGACTTTGCTCAGGTTGAATCTCGTGTTGTCCTGCAGCCTGGAATCACTTGAAGAGCTTTAAAAGAATATTGTTTCCTGGATCCCACTTCTGGGGAAATTCTAATTTAATCATTCTGGACTACGTATGACTTGAACATTAGGATTTTTTTTAAGATCCTCAGATGTACCAATTCTGATATATAGAATTGCCTATTCTGTCACCTAAAGAAGAATATCAGTGCCTGTGCCTCAACCCTGACCCAGTAATTCAGAATCCCTGGTGTTGGGTTCAGGACATTAGCATTTTACATACTCTCCTGAGATGAGTCTAATGTACAGCCAGACCAACAACAAAAGAACCAGAGAAATCAAATCTCTTCTTGAAAAGATATGGGTTTGGAGAACAAAATGGCAGATAGGAGGCAGGACTAACTTGCATCTCCTACTTGGACGGACAGAACAGCATGTTGAGACTCACATTGTGAACTTTTGCTCCAAGAACCACTGCAGGAATATACCAGAAAAACTGAAGGAAGTCACACACCCTTTAAAAGAAGTGGCTTGCCACTGCAAACTCTGTGAGACAGCCGAAAAACTGTGAGTTCTCAAAGTGTGAGAGGGAAAAAGTCCACCTCTGAACACATATCCTCACTGAGGAACCTGGAAATCCGGATCACGGGAGAAGGATTTCACCTAACCTAGAGCTGAAATGAATTTGGAGAGCTGAGTGAAATGTAAAAGCAGAATAAGCAGCAGGAAGAGGTGCCTTCCCCAAGGACCCCTATAGGCACTTCGGTCCCCAGGGAAGCCATTTCTGACTTTATCTCACAGGAGTCCTTGCGGAGAGCAGCCAGTACAATTTGGGGAGAGCCATGGGGAGAAGGAGGCTTCCAGCTGAACTTTGTGACAATTTTGACCAAGCACAAATTTTCCTGGTCAGAATCTGGGGGTGTGAACCTGAAGTACAGATATAAACACAGGCGCCATGGCAGGCAGGGAGGGGTGAGACCTGAAAGCCCTGCTTGCTTTCTCAGTGGGGACGCTTGTTGCTGGGGCAAGATCTTAGCTCCAGGCAAAGGAGGCTTGGATATAAATTTGGCTCTCTTGGCTGTTGGGCACCATAGCGGGCATGAGACTGGCCTTGCTGGCTGCCTGGGTGCTGAGTGAAGCCTGTCACTGCCGGCTTCCCTCACTTATCTGGTGAACTGTATGAAGCAGCAGAGGCAGTCATAATCCCCTCTGGAATATAACTCCATTAGCCTGCAAGCCACCCACCTCATCCCCCACAATGGCCGCAGCAAGCCCTGTCTGAGAATCTGAGATCAGACACACCTAACCCTGCCCCCAGCTGATGGTCTTTCTCTACCTGCCCCTGTAGCTGAAGACAAAAGACACGGACTCATGGGAGCTCTATGATCTCACTCATCACCTGAGAAACCCGAATACTTATCTAGTGAACCTAGGTCAAGCTTGTATCCCCCTCATATTACTTGCAGCTGATGGTCTCTTGAAAGTGCCACCTCCTGGCTGAAGGCCAGCCAACTCAAGTCATTACAGCCACTCATAACAGAACCACCTTGCTCCAGGAAGGAGAAAACAACAGCTAATTATACTGCCTGTAACATCCTGGGTAACCAGAGGTCCTGAGTCTGTCCAAGTAGCAACTTCACTGCTAGCATAACCAGCCTTTGAGAAAACCAGCGTACTAAACAAAACTACAACCAAGGACTCTTACAGAATCCACTTCACTCCCCTGCTGCCTCCACTGGAACAGGTGCTGGTACCCATGATTGGGAGAACTGAAAACAGATCACATCACAGGACCCTTTGCAGATACTCCCCAGTACCAGCCCAGAGCCCAGTAGCTCTTCTGGTTGGCTAGACTCAGAAGAGCAATAACAATAACAATAACAGAAGAGCAATAACAATCACAGCAGTTTGGCGCTCAGGAAGCCCTATCCATAGAAGAAGGGGGAGAGCACCAGATCAAGGGATCACCCTGTGGGACAAGAGAATCTGAACAGCAGCGCTTTAGTTTCAGATATTTCCTCTAACATAGTCTACCCAAATGAGAAGGAACCAGAAAAACAATTCTGATAATGACAAAACAAGGTTCTATAACATGCCCAAAAGATCATGTTAGCTCACCAACAATGGATCCAAACCAAGAAGAAATCTCTGAATTGCCAGAAAAAGAATTCAGAAGGTCAATTACTAAGCTACTCAAGGAGGCACCAGACAAAGGTGTAAACCAACTTAAAGGAATTAAAATACTAATACAGGATACGGATGAAAAGTCTCCAGAGAAATAGATATTGTAAATAAAAATCAGTCACAACTTCTGGAAGTGAAAGACATACTTAGAGAAATACAAAATACACTGGAAAGTTTCAACAATAGACTAGAACAAGTAGAAGATGAACTACAGGACTCAAAGACAAGGCTCTCAACCCAATCCAACAAAGAAAAAAGAACTTTTGAAAAAATGAACAAAGCCTCCACGAAGTTTAGGATTATGATAAATGACCAAACCTAAGAATAATTGGTGTTCCTCAGCAAGAAATCTAAAAGTTTGGAAAACATATTTGAGGGAATAATCAAATAAAACGTTGCTGGCCTTTCTAGAGATTTAGACATCCAAATACAAGAAGCTCAAAGAACATTTGGAAAATTCATCACAAAAGGATAATCACTCAGGCAAAGAGTCATCAGATTATCTAAAGTCAAGATGAAGGAAAGAATCTATGAGGCAAAAACATCAGCTAAACTACAAAGGAAAACTTACCAGATTAACAGCAGATTTCTCAGCAGAAACCCTACAAACTAGAAGGGATTGGGATCCTATCTTTAGCCTCCTTAAGCAAAATGATTATCAGCCAAGAATTTTTGTATCCAAGAAACTAAGCTTCATAAACAAAGGAAAGTTAAAGTCTTTTTCAGACAAACAAATGCTGACAGAATTCAACACTACTAAGCCAGTACTACAAGAACTACTAAAAGGAGTTATAAATCTTAAAACAATACATCAAAATATACCAAAATAGAACCCCCTAAAGCATAAATATCACAGGGCCTATTAAAAAATAACACAATGAAAAAAATTAGGTATTCAGGCAACAATTAGCATGATGAATAGAATAGTATCTCACATCTCAATACTAATGTTGAATGTAAATGGCCTAAATTCTTCACTTAAAAGATACAGAATGGCAGAATGGATAGGAATTTACCAGGCACATACCTGCTATCTTCAAGAGACTCACCTAACACATAAGGACTCACATAAACTTAAGACAAAGGGGTGAAAAAAGATATTCCACGCAAATGGACACCAAAAGTGAGCAGGAGTAGGTATTCTTACATCATACAAAGCAGACTTTAAAGCAACAACAGTTAAAAAAGACAAAGAGCGACATCATATAATGATAAAAGGACTAGTCCAACAGGATACTAGCACAATCCTAAATATATATGCACCTAATAGTGGAGTTCCCAAATTTATAAAATAATTACTCACTTTGGGAGGCCAAGGTGGGCAGATCACAAAGTCAGGAGATCAAGACCATCCTGGCTAATGCAGTGAAACCTCACCTCCACTAAAAATACAAAAAAAAAAAAAAAAACGAAACTTTAAAGTATAATAATAATAATAATAAAATAAATAAATAAGTGAAAAAAAAAAGGAAAAAAAAACAATTACTATTAG